CTGGGGGTCAGGACACTGGGGGTCAGGACACTGGGGGTCAGGGCACTGGGGATCAGGACACTGGGGGTCAGGACACTGGGGGTCAGGGCACTGGGGGTCAGGGCACTGGGGGTCAGGACACTGGAGGTCAGGACACTGAAGGTCAGGACACTGAAGGTCAGGGCACTAGGGGTCAGGGCACTGGGGGTCAGGACACTGGAGGTCAGGACACTGGGATTCTGGTCCTGTTTGTGCCCCTGATTCACTTGACGTGGCGATCAGGCCGTGGCCCTTGTGTGATCATCAGTTTCCTGTGTTAAATGAAGGGCCCAAACGAGCCAGGAGACCAAAAAGAGCAAACCCACGGCTGTGAAGTCAATGCCAACTCAGAGAGACCCTAGAACAGAGCAAAGTTGCCCCAGAGGCTTTCCAAGGCTGTAGATTCTAAGGGAATTAAGTGGCTACATTTTTGTCCTGTACAGTGGCTGGTGGATTGAAACAGTCAGCCTTTCAGGGAGCGGCAAAGCACCTAACTGCTGCGCCACCAGAGACTAGCCGAGCAGTAAGATTTCAGGAGCCTAAGGAAGACAGATGCGTATGGTGCTGGCGAAGGATATTGAAAGTGTCATTGATTTGCAAAAAAGCAAACAGCTCTGTCCAGTACAACTGGACTGCGCCTTAGAAGCGAGGACAATGAGATGTTTCTTCTCCCGCCCTTGGGACATGTTATCAGGAGAGACACAGCCAGGGAAAAGACATCGTGCTCGGTAAAGTAGGAGGTCATCAGGAAAGAGGAAGACCCTCGGGACAGGGGTGGACCCCATGGCTACAGCAGTGGGCTCAGGCATAACAATGGCGAAGATGCTGCAGGACCGGGCAGTGTCATGTGCTGCTGTACACAGGGGCCAGTGGAGCCCACTCTGTGACACCGAATAGCATCAAAGAGTCTGGAAGAAGCCCTAGCAACATATTGTGTTAGACACTGTGCTGCTAATCTCAAGGTCAGCAGTTTGAAACCACCAGCTCCTCTGAGGGAGAAAGATGAGACTTTCTTCTCCCGTAAAGATTTTCGTTATGAACCAATTCAATGGCCGTGAGTTTGACTTTTGGTGTTTGGAGGGCTAGCCAGGGGTTTGGTGTGGAAGGAGGCTGGACGGGTGAGAGAAATGAGGCGACAGATTGAGAATAAAGAAACAACTGAGTGCTGAGTGGTGTGTTCCTCCCGGTTGGCTCAAGAAACAAATTCATAGACACTCAGATGTGTATAAGAAAGAGCTTTATATACAAGAACAATTGAATATTGAAAAAACATCCCAGCCCAGTCCAGATCAAGTCCACAAATCCAATATCAGCCCATATGTCTGATACCAGTCTATAAATCCCTCTTCAGACTCACACAGCACACGGGACAGTGGTTGGAAAGTCTGTGGATCCAGTGGTTGTGGAAGCATCTCAGTGCTGATGTGGGTCTCCACGTGGCTCCTCCAGCTCCAGGGCTCTGGCTCCATCAGCATAGCTCCATGTGGTTTGTCAACAGGAATGTGAAGCAGAGAGAGTATGTGTCCCAGCTCCAGGGAGGAAGACAGGAGTTCCCAGAATCCTCAGGAGCAGGCCATGCCCACACCCTGGCCACATTGGCTATATCTGATTGACAGGCTAGACTCTACCTCTTTGCTCAAGTTGACAGTGGATTATGTAACTGCCACAAGTGGCAAAGGATTCTGGGACTCATTGTTGGGGGTTGGGGGTCGTGTCATGGTGTGTGGTGAAGAATGCCGCAGATCTGCTATCTGACGATGACAGGCCTAAAGTCCCACTCAGTTGTGGTCATGTGGGAACATGGGTCCACTGCCACCCTCTCTTCTGTATTGTCAAGGTCAAGGATGCTGGGAATTTAGGATTTGATGTGGCACATGATTTTTTAATATTAGGCTGAAAATATGTGAAAATACTGTGCAGGTCAAGCAAAACACATCTGTGGCTGGAATCCATTAGATTACAGTTTGCAGCCCTGGATTCCATTGTGGCTCAAACTCTTCCTACTTTCCGTTTCTTCTTGTTAGTTCCTGCACTTTGACCTTCCCTCCCTCAGGGCCTCCTCTCTCCCAGGTGCTCTCACGGTCCCTACTACCTTGTGACCTTCCTTTCCTGGCAAAAATATTGAATACTCAAATTGTCAGGAGGTTTCCCACTCCAATTTCCGAGGCTTCAGGACCCAGAGCAAAGAGGGGCAGTTTCTCAGACCCAGGCTTGGTTGATGAGGAATCAAATACGTCAGGCAACGTCTGGGAGCCCAGGAGAGAGAGGGAGCACTTTCTTGGGGACCCTCTGGTTGGGGAGGTCAGTGAGCCTGGAGAATTTGGGGCAAAGGGAGGAGGCTGAATAATGAATGGCTTCGGGGAGGAAACAGCAGTAGCTGTCACGCTCCAACCCTATTGCTTAAGGCACCATCACCATCCCTGACCTCCGGGTTGGTACACATTTCCCAATCACTCGCTTGAACTTGAGGAAGAAAGATGAGGCTTCCTATTGCTGTAAACTGAGTTAGAGTCTCGGAAACACACATGGGCACTTCTACCCAGTACGATAGGGTCTGTGTCAGAATCAACTTGATGGCAGTGTGTTTGGGGTGGGGTTGTCATCTTGGGCTCGTGGTGGGGATAGCTTCCCCTTTGCACCTTTGCCGAGGTCTTTCCCACAGTTAAGAACTCAGTAGATACACGGATTCATTGTTGATCAGCAGACTGTAAAGTCCCTGAAAGTATAGTAGATGTTTAAGGGAGACCCTGAGCCGGGTCTCAGAGAGAAGGAAGCTACCCAATTAAAAAGCTTCAGAAATATGTGTGTAGGCATCCCCAGGGATCTGTTGGACCTCTTGCTGAGTACCAACTTCAATGAGGCTCGGCCAGAAAGGAAAGACCAGGGGACTGTAAGCGAAACCATTCTCAGAGCTCACACAGCGGTGGGAGCTGTGGTAGTTACTTCATCTGGGTCAATCTTGGACTTGAGAGGATTAAGAGTGAAGGGGTGGCATCTAGTCTGTTAATAGCCAATGAGGCCTCTGTGTGGGCATGGACTTCTCCTGAGGACTCTGGGAACTCCTCTTTTCCTCCTTGGAGTGGGGAGACTCTCTCTCTCTTGGCTCACTCCCTGCAAGACATTTTTGAGGAGAAGCCACATGAAGCAACCCTGAGACAGTCAGAGTTTCAGAGCTGAAGGAACGACGTGGAGACCCCTGCCAGTGCCGAGATGCTTACAACACCACTGGATCCACAAGACTTCGCGCCCACTGGCCTGTGATCTTCCTGCATTTGGTGTCATTGATTTGTTTTGTAAGTCTGAAGAGGACTTTATGGATTGTATGGGACATATGGGCTGTTATCGGATTATGGACTTGATCTGGACTGGGCTGGGATGTTTTCTTAAGATTCAATTGCTCTTGTATATAAACCTCTTTCTTATACACATATACGTGTTTAAGAATTTGTTTCTCAAGTCTACCAAGACTAACACAGGAGCCTTGTTGAATACCGGGCACACTCAACGAAGACTCACATAAGTCATAGGACTCAACTCTCCCTAGAGTAAAGGTAATTCTAGACCAACTGGAACAAACCTTAAACTCTAAATTATCAAGCTGCCCTACTAAGTAACATGACTGCTTGCCCTCACAAAGTCCAACACTCTTTACAGGAGACAAAGAAAATTGAGTCACAATTCCCTGTTAAAAAACCTAGCACTCCATGTGTAAAAGTCAACATCCAGCAACCAATAAAGAAATGAGAAAGCTCCCTGTGAGGCTCCCAGAGCGCTGTGGTGGAGAAGCTTTTATTTTATTTATTTATTTTTAAACATTTTATTAGGGGCTCATACAACTGTTATTGCAATCCATACACACATCAATTGTGTAAAGCGCATTTGTACTTCATTCTCAAAACATTTTCTCTCCACTTAAACCCCCAGCATTAGGTCCTCATTTTTCCCCTCCCTCCCCGCTCCCCCCTCCCTCATGAGCCCTTGA